TTTGAAAAATAATGTGTTTTTTGAACATTAAAGCATGTCAACATATTCTGTTACACCAAATACACAAAATAATGATCTTTAAAAAAGCATCATATGACCCCTTTAAAGCTAAATACAATTATTTAGAATAAACAAACAAAATGACAAAACTACATTTTGATATGACAATACTACTCATAAAAATGAAAACTCAAAATATTAATTAACTTAACATATTCAGAAGTACTATAATAATAATAATAATAATAATAATATACTTAAAAATTAAACATTAAAATACAAAAAAAAAAATTAAAATAAACATGCAACAGAACAGTTTAAGAAGAATATAATATAAAATAAAAACAGTCACATAATCACATAAATGCCACTCTGAAAAGGTGAGTTTGAAGAGAAGATTAAAAAACATATACCATTTATTATAGTAAATAATTAAAATGAAGTATATAAACAATACTGGTGATTATTATTCACTGTCATTTTTGGAAAAATGCTGCATACAGTAAATATTCTTCAAATATCTCCTTTTGCGTGCCGCAGAAATAACAGCATACAGGTGTAGAATGAATTTTCATTTGTGGGCAAACTGAGTCAAATTTAGCCAGGTTTAGATAATCAGATGCTCAGAATCAGTCACTCACCTGTATGCAAAGCTTGATTTGAGAATGCTGAGTTTCCCCTCATAAGGGAACATGTCCTCATATTCCAGCAATATCCCATTAGCACCCAGAGTTGACAGTAGAGGGAATATCTACAAAAGAACAAAGGCAAACTTTAAGAAACTATTAATACATTTGACCACATGTCTGAAACACAATCCTGTTTGCATACTTTCCCACCTGTTCAAGGTATTTGACTTTGGGTGCGGCGCCTTTCAGATCTAAGTGCACAATTTTTAATGGCTCCATGGGTGTATCATCAGGAACTACTGGTTCTAACTCCTCTTGGTTTGACTGGATCGTCTCTTTTTCCTCTGGCTGAACCTCTGGGTTGTCTGCATGTTCTTTTTTGACAGGATCCTCCTCATTATGAACCAAATTCAGCTGTGGGATACGCTGCTTAGCCCAGAAATTACCACCTTGTATGATTTGCTGGGTCTTGACACTCGTGTCTTTGCTTGAGCTATGAATAGAAGGTAAATAAAGTTTAATCACAAGCTTGTTTGGGACAGCGAAGCATGGTTTGCACGTGTACATGGAGACCCCACGAGAACTGCAAACCTCACCTGGGACGAAAGAAAATTTTCACCATGGCAACAATCACCAAGCAGCCCATGATCAACCTCATAAACTTTTGAGTGTTCATGTCTGCTTCTGTGCGGGTGAATGCGATAAACCATAGAAATGAAGGCAGGTGTTGAACTCAGGTGACCTTCGAAACAAAATTTGCATTGAAAATCAAGAGACGTAATGAAAAGCTTAAAAATCTTTACCTGTTTTAATGACAATGGAAAAGCCTCCACTTCTAAACACATCAGGGGCCAGTTGCATAAACTTAGCCTCTATATTAAGACCTATATTAAGTCCGGCTAGCAGTTAGCCAGAAATCAGTCTCATTTTTGGATTCAACTTATAATCTATGCTTTTATGTAACTGAATTTTTTAAAATTATGACCAGTCTTTGATGGCTAACTTATAAGACCAGTCTAAACCTTTCATGCAACTGGCCCAAGTTTATGCATTTAATAATAATAATAATAATAATAATAATAATAATAAAACACTTTACAAATGCAAATGAAAACGTGGTCTTTTTTTTTTTTTTATTTTTTTTACAACTGGCCCAAGTTTATGCATTTAATAATAATAATAATAATAATAATAATAATAATAAAACACTTTACAAATGCAAATGAAAACGTGGTCTTTTTTTTTTTTTTTAATGTGGGAATGCATCAATAATCGAAGTAGCTCAACAACATAACATGCATTTAATATATTTCCTCACAATTCGGCCTCTTTAGCATTCAAATATATTTTTTTCCTTGCTCAAATAGCAGACATGACGCTTTATAAATGAATGCTTGTTGTTATCACTTTAGAGAAACACCGAAATGTAAACTTACTCTGTTAAAGACCATTAATCCTTTAGATAAAAGACTTCATGTAGCATATAAGCAGACAGATTTACTTCCGTGTGTAGTTTCTTGCTGCAGCAAGTGCATTTGTGTGGTTGAAAAACGCGACAAGTTCAACGTGACGTACTTACAAGAGGTTATTTGAATTGATAATTTGATGACAAATGGTCGGCAGACATCTTTCTGCACTTGACCGAGCGAGCACCTGAACGATAACAGCGTGACAGTGAAAGTAAGTGTGCGCGTCACATCGACGCTTTACGGCGCCTGGTGTCCAGCGCATCAAACACTGAGGGACCGTAATGTCACTTATAAATGCGCACAAAAAAAAGCCAGTTGCTACAGCACATCATATGACTTAATTTGGTTTACATTTGGATAGTTGTCATAGCGTGTCAAGAAGTGCCAGCGGAGTCCTGTTGTGTGACACGATATATTTAATTTCAAACAGCTTTTTCTAATTCTTGTATAATTATTAATTTTACATGCAGTTTTTTACGTTTTCATAATTAAAGGACTACATATGCCTACTTACCATATGATATTTGTTTACTTTTCAAGACAAAACACATATAAAATTATATTTTACCAGTTATATTTTATATAGCAGGTCCAATGTCTAGTGACAAAATTGCATTATTTTAATGTAAAAACTTTCTCTCTCTCTCTTTAGCTTCTTCTTTTTAAAATAAGGTGTCTTTAAATGTGAGTCTTATATGAAAATACGTTATCTTAAACTGAGACATATTCAAATTTCTCTAGCCTATCTTGTTAAATGCAAAAAAACTTCGAAATGGAAAAACTTCGATGTTGAATCGATAACAGCAGTAAGACATGTGACAAAATACAGTTGACCTGTAGTCATATTAGCCTATTTCTTTAAGTCCCGCCCTTAACCTCTCACTGTTTGCTTTGATTGGACAGAGCCACTTTCAAGCGGCCTACGAGGATTGCAGTGGGTAGAACAGATTAAAGGGGTCACATGATGCTGCTAAAAAGAACATTATTTTGTGTATTTGGTGTAATGAAATGTGTTTATGCGGTTTAAAGTAAAAAAACCACATTATTTTCCACATACTGTACATTATTGTTTCTCCTCTATGCCCCGCCTTTACAAAGCTCATTGGTCTGAAAAAGCGAGGTGTGCTGTGATTGGCCAGCTATCCAGTGCGTTGTGATTGGCCGAATACCTCAAGCGTGTGACAGAAATGTTACGCCCCTTACCATACTGTGATGCCGTGTCCCGCCGGAGCGAAGAGACAAAAACATTAAAACCCATTACAAACGAGGCATTTGTTGCATCCAGTGGGGACATAAGGTTACACTTTACTTGAAGGGGTGTGCAGAAGACTGACATGACACCTTCATAATTATGACATGACACCTACATAATCATGACATGACACATGTCATGAATATGAAGGTTTTTATGCATGTTTATGACAAGTGTCATTAAGTGTCATTCGCTCAGTTATGTAATTTTTAATGCAAAGATGACATTGTTTGAGATGTCTTTGTTATGGGCTATGGTTTGGGGTAAGGGTAGGGGTAGGGTTAGGTTAGGGTTAGGTCAAATAATGTCATATTTGCATTAAAAATGACATAACTGAGCGAATGACACTTAATGACAGTTGTCATAAACATGCATAAAA